TTCCTCAAAAACTACCGCATATTTGACTATTGTTGCATCGTAGGATTCTTGACAGCGTTTTCCAAATTTTTCAGGTCTTCTATCCCGACGRCCRGCATCTCGTGATATTATGATTATAAGCAATGAACAAAGAAAATTATTGTCAGGAGGCTTCTTTCCTTGTAAAAAAAATCTTCTTTCAAYAGCAATTCGCCTTTTGCGTGGTTAAAATGTTAAGGGACAGAAATTTGAACATATATTTTTATACCTTTTTAAAATGTTTTTTATTACGAAAATAACTCAAGAATYATTAACAAAGGTTTGCRCATGTATTTTGTACGATTTATAAGCCCGCGTTGTATTCAAGGCAAGATACAACAGATTAGTCATATGATTGTCTCATGAGCATGTACACCTACGGTCAATAACACGACTCTTAACCCCTGATGTTTTTATTTAAAGTTCATCGCGTATTYAAATATCGGTCTAAGTCTTATAAACCGATGTACCTGTTGACCTTTTGACAACCTCGCGTTGCCTTCTATATCGTACTTTAATTGCCAATAAACCGATTCCTGTAAAAGTCTCTTAGGAATGATATTTTGTTAATTTTCTTATCGTTAACACCTATACCATATTCTCAGTTAATATCCGATAATTTTGACGTTTTTGACATAATTCAATTATACAACAAATCCCTATAACTAGAGCGGATGCACAATTTAATTTCGTCCTGGAGAGAGTTTGCTAGAGTTTCCGCTAACTACAGTTTTTAACTGAAGCTTTAAGCTACGTCAAATTCCTACAAAGACGCTTATAACCAAGCCCATATACATAACCATTTTAACCCTTTAACAAAGACACAAAAAAGCGAAAAGTATCGTCGCACGCTCTTAGCAAAATGCGGATTACCTGTGTATTACGTCATGCTCCTTTGATCCCTTGGGATAAAACAAAGTCTGTGACATGGTATCAAACACCGGTCACGTGACAAATATATATATTATTTGCTYCTATTTTGCCGAAAACAGCATAAAACGACAATTTTCTTTCAAATAACAACACATCGCCAGATTTTCTAACATATTCTAGATATCGCTAAATGAGCTAGTCAAATGCTTAACTTGGGTTGCCTGTGGTCACAGATCAGCGGGTTTGTAGTACGTATTCCATGACACAAGCGTATAGAACAAACTAACAAGCGAATAGAAGCACCTAACAAGCGAACAGGGTCCACACTTGTTTTCACTTGTATATTTTTCTACAGTTTTTTTATCGACTTATTCSAACTTTTTAGCTACGCCTTAACTTATTTAAAGTTTTCTTATCAAATTTTCAACTTAGAATTATGAATTTAACATTTTATAGCCTGACCCGCCTAAACCTAACCCTTCGACTAGAGCTACAAAATGTAAAGCTTTTCCGTCGCAAATTATGCAAATTAGGTCAATTTTCTGTTTCAGAGCATTAAAATGACAAAGAAGAAAGTTTAGCACAAAACTTAGTTAAGGAACGGTTTTTTACACCTTTTTAAAAACAAAATGAATTTTTGAAAACATTTGTGGTTATGCGCGGTAAAAGTATGCCTCATATTTTTCGTTGACTTCAAGTAACGTGTCTTTAGTCTTAATTAACGCACTTATGAGACTTTTTAGCACAAAACAAGTTTCGTTTATTTACAAAACTTTTCAATCGCTAATAAACTGTTACAATGAAGCGCGCCCCCTAAGACTTCATTATTCAATTCATCATTGGATTTTTCATTTTATTTTCAGTTGATTTATGCAAAATTAAATTCAAATCTCGAACTCAAATAGCCGACTTGCGAATTACTCATCAATAGTTACATACAAAGGAATCAAGACGAGGC